TTAAATGATAGAGGAAATATGAATGGGTATGACATTTTTGTTTTTAAAATTATTTTTAAAATATATTTCCAGAGTCGATTTACCATATACATATGTAACTAATATAACAGGTATATAAAGGCTCATTTTAACTTGCATCTCTTTAACAGCTGGGAAAGTCCAACATTTTTTCACCTACATTTCAGTTGTTTGTCTGACTACAAAGTATTCTCCCAGTTATTTTTCTTTTAAGTCATATTATTTTTCATTGAACAGAGATTTAACATTTTATGTTTGAACTAGTGATTTTACTTCTTCACAAACGAATCATTCCTTTACAGATTAGATAAATTTTCCACTAGTTATCTTTGGATAAAGAAATTAGCTATTCCACCTCGAGTTTGTGGTATAAAGATTTAGATTGTTTTCTAAATTGTGAACCAGTTTTCTCCACACGAAGACAACTTAATTTTTTAGGCTGATAGAGTTGCTGGTAACTGAGCAGTATCCCAAGGAGGCAGAGGCCACATTAGGGTACTGGAGAGGTGGGTGGCTTATGTGCCCAGAATCAGCCCACAGACCCTCCAGGCAAGACAAAGAGTTACAACTGTCTCTGGCCTTCCCCCCTTCCCTCAGGACTACCCTTTTATCACTTCAGAACTCATGCTCATTTTTACCTGTGCCAAAATATTAAGGGGGAAGAGGGAGGAAGACTATAGCATACTTCTTAGAGATGGCTAAGTGGATGCTCTTATCCTGCCTTACTACTACCTCCTAGGGATTCAGCTGAGGGTGGGATTGGTATGTCTTACCTTCTGAAGTAACACACTTTGAAAGCCAGCTTTGGTTTGTTGGAAAGTTCTTACATTAGATTTAAATCTGTTTTGTTTACAACTGCCCATTACTCTTGTTTTGCGTTCTGAAATGAGACATTTAACCCATGGCTTTTTGGGATGCTGGAATCTAGAAGTAAAGATACTGTTCAGGAGCATCTAGGTACTGACTCCACTTCCCCAAACACAATGAAGATGTGACCTTAGTGACAAGAGGATTCATTTCTGGAATCAAGAACTTGTTTTTAATAAGTGTCATATCCTTGGCCTAATAAATTTGGAACTTAATCTGCTGTTAATGTGTGTAAGAGTGTATCCATGTGTCCCCTCTTTCCACTAATCTGTAGGTCATCAAAAATAATGCAGGTTTCTGGGGCCGGCTGAGTGGCACGTTGGTTAGGAGTTGGCTTGGGATGCCAGCTCTGAGCAGCAGGGCCCCGGTTTGGATCCCATATGAGGGCCAGTGACACTGCGCCCCCTACAGCTAAGATGGTGAACAACAGCTCGAACTGGAGCTGGGCTGCCATGAGTCACTGGTGACGGCGTAGGCTGCAGCCACTGCTGCAGTGGGCTGCCATGAGCTATCGTGAGTGGCTGGCAGCCAGCGTGAGTGGCCGGCAGCCAGTATGAGCTTCCGTAAGCCAATGTGAGCGACCATCCAATGGCCAGCGACCAACCTGCCTCAGCTGGGAAGAGCACAATAATAATACCAACATGGGCCAGTGAAGCAACACCCTCCACAACTAGACTGAAGAACAAAAGGACAGCAACTTGTCTGTACCCCTTCCCCAATTCCCCCAATAAAATCTTTAAAAAATAAATAAAAATAATGCAATTCTCTTCTAATAGCCCCACAAATTCTGAAACTGGCTATAGTCACTCTTCAATTGGCTTCAATTTTTGATAGCTAAAAGTTCCAGATATGTCAGTATCCAAGTTTCCTTCTAGACAAAATGCTAATTATTATTCTTTATATTTGGTGTCCATGTGACATATATTGTATTGGTGCCCTTTCTTGTCTCTAAAAGCGTAGCTGCTGATCTATTTCCCTTCCTAAAGTCTAGAATTAATTGAAAATTACTGAAAGTTACTTAGAAAATACTACTTTAACAAGCCAATGTAAATCTCTTTCAGGGCAGTTATATGATGGTTATGATGAAGAGTATGATTGTCCCATTTTAGATGAAGACAGAGTAAGTACAATTTTTTTATAAACTACACATTTAAAAAATTTAATAGGAAAGTTGACAGCAGGTTTTTAAAGGAGCATTCATCTTGTTTTCTTTCCCTTATAGGTAGTTGATGAGTTAGAAAACCAAATGAGTGAAGGTGGCGTTATTGTTGATTACCATGGTTGTGATTTCTTCCCTGAACGCTGGTTTCACATAGTTTTTGTGCTGACAACAGATAACAGTATATTGTACAACAGACTTGAAACAAGGTAAGAAAGGAAAAACACTGAATTCTTAAAAGTATAAAACTGTTATTCAGATTTCGGAAATTGGCCAATGTGACTACATTATTTGGCCTGTACTTATAAATCAAGTCTTCATGGTACCAACATTCTGAATCTAAGAGAAAATATTACTGTTTTTTGTAAACAGCCAAAGGCTGACTGAGGTGTGAAAAAACTATGAGAGAACCAGTGTTTTTTGTTTTTAGCCATTGAAAAAAGTTCTAATATAGTCACCTTTATAGAAAAAAATCTCTATTGAGATAAATTCACATATACAGTTCACCCATTTTAAGTGCACAATTCAATGGTTTTTAGTATTTCACAGAAGAATTCATCCATTATTACAACCAATTGTAGAAAATGTTCATCACTCCCCATCCCCACTAAAAAACCCTTTACCCATTAGCAGTCACTCACCATTACCCCTTAGTCCTCCAGCCCAAGGCCACCAGTAATTTATACTTTCTATCTCAGTGAATTTGCCTACGAGGTATTCGGGACATTTCGTATAAATGATATCATACAATATGTGGTCTTTTGTGTCTGGCTTCTTTTACTTAGCATAATGTTTTCAAAGTTCATCTGTTTTATCAGCATACACCAGTACTTCATTCCTTTTTATTGCCAAATACAATTCCATTGTACTCGTATGAATAGATCATATTTTATTTATCAGATACATGATTTGCAAAACTTTTCTCCCATTCTGTGGGTTGTCATTTCATAAAGTTAGTCACCTTTTAAGTAGGTCAATTTAATTTGTCTTTAAAAGCTTTAACTAATTCGAGTTTGTCTTTTCTTTATATTTTTCACTAGCTAATTGGTTGGCTAATATATCTGCATAAAGAGTACATAAGTTAATTTTTTTCACTGTCTGGAATTGGTCAAGTACAGATACATCTATGTGATAAAGTACTCAATTAGTATATAGTATTCTAATCATATGCATTTCTTTATATGCCATCTATTTGTTCTATCTGTCTATATCCAAACTCCTCTAATTCTTTTGAAATCTAGGGCCATAACTATAGACTTTCTATTTATCTCATAGCTCAGAATCTGGCTTGTGATAGGTAGATACGTTTGCTAACTGACTGGCTGACAAATTGTGAGGAAAGAAAATTTTAGACAAACAAACACTGGTCCTCAGTTTAACCCTCTTGTCAAAGTCTTTCATATTTACGGGTGCCATTATATTTCCTATAGGTAAAGAGACTACAAGAAGTATTTTTGCATGACTTTTCATATATTCAAAAGTGTCCAGTTTCTGGTATGCTCCTAAAACTCTGTTAATGCCTTTCAGGTTTTTGGGGTTTTTTTTCTTTTCAGTGTTTTTTTTTGTTTGCTTATCTTCTCTTTGTTTTCCAGGGGTTATAATGAGAAGAAACTAAAAGGTAATGTTCAGTGTGAAATTTTTCAAGTTCTTCATGAAGAAGCATTAGCATCCTACAAGGAAGAAATAGTTCATCAGCTGCCCAGCAATAAACCAGAAGATCTAGAGGATAATATCAATCAGATACTGAAATGGATTGAGCAGTGGATCAAAGATCATAGCTCTTAGTTTTCAAGACTGGCCACGTTATAATCACTCCTAATATATCTCTGCCCACATCATATAAATTGTCCAATTATCAGTAAAACTTTTAAAATTAAAATTGTGCTGCAGAACTAGTAGGTGGATAGTATAAAGGTTTATGTTTGGGTTCTTTTCCTCCATGAGAAAGCTAAACCATCTCAAGTATAATGAATATAATATTAAAGATTAAGAATAAAAACTGTTGGGCCGGCCGAGTGGCTCAGTTGGTTAAGAGCTCGCTCAAGAGTGTGAGCTCTGAGCAACAGGGTCGCCAGTTTGTTTCCCAGCTGGAGCTGAGCTGCCAACAAGTGGCAGGATGGCTCAGCTAAAAAAAAAAAAAGAATGAAAACTGTCATCATTTAGTGCTTCAATTGCTAAAGAATAAATAAATCTTACCAAATGGGTGCATGGATATCTTTTAAGTTTATTATAGAAGGAAATGAATATGATCTCTTAAAATAAAACTAAAGTCCAAAGATAAACCATTAGAGTTTTCCATTTATATTTCTTCCTTTAAAAAAAAAGGGGTGGGGGGTGGAGGGTAGTGTAATAATTGCACTCTATAAAATTCCAGAGGTACAGAAGGGTATACTGGAAAGGTTGGTTTCCCTTCCAGGCCACCCCTGTTCTTCAGCCACCCCAGGTCCCTCCCTTTAGGAAATAATGTTACCTATGTATCTTTTGAGAGATTTTATGCCTGCAAAGTGTGTGTGTACACATTTTTTTAAAGCATATGGTAGCATACAATGTAAACTTCTATATTTTCTTTTTTCATTTAAAATATTTTGGAGATTATACCATCTCAGAACCTATAGACCTCCCTATCTTTTTTTTAAATTAAGATACAATTCACATATAAAATAGACCATTTTGAATTGTATAATCCATGGGTTTTTATCATATTCACAAGACTGTGCAACAATCACCCCACCCAAAAGAAGTCCCATAACCCTTAGCGTCACTGCTCATTCTTTCCTCCTAACCCCTTGCAATCACTAATCTACTTTGTCTATAGGGATTTGCATATTCTGGACACTTCATATAAATGGAATCATGCAATATGTGGCCTCTTGTGTCTGTCTGCTTTCATTTAGCATGTTTCCATGGTCATCTATGTAGCCCGTACCAATACCTCATTCTTTGTTATGGTCAAGACTAGTGATGGGCCGGCTGAGTAGCGAGTTGGTTAAGAGCTGACTTGGGACGCCAGCTCTGAGCAGCAGGGCCCCAGTTCGGATCCCACATGAGGGCCAGTGACACAGCCCTCTACAGCTAAGATGGTGATCAACAGCTCAACCTGGAGCTGGGTTGCTGTGAGTCGCCGGCAACGGCGTAGGCTGCAGCCCCTGCTGCAGTGGGCTGTCATAAGCTACTGTGTGTGGCCAGCAGCCAGCGTGAGCGGCCGGCAGCCGGTGTGAGCTGCTAAGAGCTATCATGAGCGGCTGTCCAGAGGCCAGCAAACGATCTGCCTCACCCAGGAAGAGCGCAATGATAATACCAACATGGGCCAGTGAAGCGACGTCCTCAACAACTAGACTGAAGAAAAGGACAGCAACTTGTCTGTTCCCCTTCCCCAATGCACCAACACTGTTCCCCTCCCCCAATTCTCCAATAAAAATCTTAAAAAAAAAATGACTAGTGAATAATATTCCAATGTATGGCTATACCACATTTTGTTTATTCCATCAGTTGCACAACTGGGTTGTATCCATTTGGGGTATTATGAATTATGCTGTGAATATCTGTATATAGTTTTTATGTGGATGTATGTTTTCAATTCTTTTGGGTATATATCTAGGAGGGAAATTTCTGGGTTATATTGCAACTGAGTTTAACTTTTTGAGGAAGTAACCAAACTGTTTTCCAAAGCAGTTGCATTTCTTTACGTTCCCACCATCCATGGATTACGGATCTAATTTCTCCACATCCTTACCAACACTTGCTACTGTTCATAATAACCATCCTGTGGATATGCAATCATAGTTCATTTTGGTTTCGATTTACATTTCCCTAATGACTAATGATGTTAAGCCTCTTTTCATGTGCCTATTAATCATTTGTACATTTTCTTTGGACCCCTAATCTTTTTGTTGTGTGCATAAAATTCCATTAAGGATGTGCTATAATTAGTTTAATCTCCTATTGATGGACATTAAGGTTTCCAGCTTTTTACTATTACAGTGATGTAAAAAAGAATAACATTATTACTATGTGCTAGGCAATCTTAAATACATTTCAAAAGTAAACTCTCTTAACCACATGACTACCGTCTGAGGTAGGTATTATATCCATTACAGGTGATAGAACCAAGGCACAAAAGAGTTAAGTGACTTACCCAAGATCCTAGCTATTGGGTCTTCGGAAAAGTCATGACACATGTTTGCAACAGATGTTACTGCTATGTTATTTGACAGTTGACAGTTCTAGCTTCATTCTAAAAAGAATTGAGCCATTTGGATGAGATTTGGAGATTTTACAAGTTGAAGATGGAAGACCAAACTGTGCATGTTTGCCATATTTTACTGTTTTACTTCCATAAAGGGAAGAACGCAAGTCAAGCTTGTGAAAAATTGCATAAAGTTTATGGTGACAATGCTCTACAAGAACGTCAGTGCCAAGGATGGTTCACGAAATTCTGTGCTGGTAATTTTTATCTCAACGACGCTCCTTGGTCAGAGAGGCCCACCGAGGTCGATGACAACAAAATAAAGGCATTGATGGAGTCAAACCCACGTTACACAACACGAGAGATTGCAGAAACATTGAATACCATCATTCAAGCGTTCACAACCACCTGAAGAAGCTGGGATACATAAGCAAGCTCGATATTTGGGTTCCGCATGAACTCAAAGAAGTTCATTTGACGGCGCATATAAACATCTGCAATATGCTCATTAAACATGAGGAAAACGATCCTTTTTTTTTATTGGGTAATTGGGGTAGGGGAACAGCGTTGGGAAATTAGGGAAGGGGAACAGACAAGTTGCTGTCCTTTTGTTCTTCAGTCTAGTTGTGGACGTTGCTTCACTGGCCCATGTTGGTATTGTGATCATTGCGCTCTTCCCGGGTGAGGCAGATCAGTCGCCGGCTTCTGGATAGCCGCTCATGGCAGTTGCTGGCCGCTCATGCTGGCTGCCAGCCACTCATCGTAGTTTATGGCAGCCCACTGCAGCAGGGGCTGCAGCCTACGCCATTGCTGGTGACTCGCGGCAGCCCAGCTCCAGGTCAAGCTGTTGTTCACCATCTTAGCTGTAGAGGGCAGTGTCACTGGCCCCCATGTGGGATCTGAACCGGGGCCCTGCTGCTCAGAGCTGGCATCCCAAGCCAGCTCTTAACCAATGCATCACTCGGCCGGCCCCGAAAATGATCCTCTTTTGAAGAGACTGATAACTGGTGATGAGAAGTGGATTGTTTATACAATGTGGTGTGCAAATGGTCTTTGTCCTGACGTGATGATTCACCTCAAACAACATCAAAAGCAGACATTCATCAGAGGAAGGTTATGCTCTCAGTGTTGTGGGATTTTAAAGGTGTCGTGTATTTCGAGCTCCTACCAAGGAACCAAACAATCAATTTGAATGTGTACTGTTGGCAATTGGACAGTTTGAACGAATCCATCATCCAGAAATATCCAGAGTTCGTTAATTGTAAAGGGTTGTGTTCCATTGTGACAACGCAAGACTACACACAAGTCTGATCACCCGTCAAAAATTATTGGAGCTTGGATGGGATGTGTTGCCATACCCACCATACTCGCCTGACCTTGTGCCATCAGACTTCCACTTATTTTGCTTTCTTCCAAACTTTTTGCATGGTATAATGTTCAATTCAGATGAGGCTTTAAATCAGTACCTTGTTCAGTTTTTTGCAAATAAAGACAGGTCCTTCTATGAATGAGGAATTATGAAGCTCACTGAAAGATGGCAAAATGTTATCAAACAAAATGGGCAATATATCTTTGATCTTTGTTCTTTATCAATAAATGACCTTTGAAAAACATAGACAAAATACGTCATGCCTTTTCCGAAGACCCAATAGAAAATATCAAAGTCAGGATTCCATCTTGCAGACTTACCAATTAAATTGTGCTGCCAAGGCCGGCCAAGTGGCTCGTTGGTTAAGAGTTGGCTTGGGAGCATGAGCTTTGCGCAGCAGGGCTCTGGTTCGGATCCCACATGGGCCAGTGACACTGCCCTTTACAGCTAAAATGGTGAAGAACAGCTTGACCTGGAGCTGGGCTGCCATGAGTCACTGGAGATGGCGTAGGCTGCAGTGGGGCTGCATTGGGCTGTCGTGAGCTACCGTGAGTGGCTGGCAGCCAACGTGAGCAGCCAGCAGCTGGCGTGAGCTACCGTGAGACGTCATGAGCGGCCGTCCAGTGGCCAGTGACCATCTGCCTCAGCCGGGAAGAGCACAGTGAGCACAATACCAACATGGGTTGGTGAAGCAACGTCCTCCACAACTAGACTGAAGAACAAAAGGACAGCAACTTGTCTGTTCCCCTTCCCCAATTCCCCAATAAAATCTTAAAAAAAAAATGATTTGTAAAAGAAGACTAGCAAATAAAAAGCATATAGGTTGTCCTGGAGTTCCTAGCCAGTGCATTAAGCAAGAAAATAAAGACATGCAGAGCTGAAAGAAATAAACTATTCTCGGTAAACATGATTCCGTATATAGAAATTCCAAGAAGAATCCACACAAAAGCTACTTGAACTAAGTGACTTTTAGCAAGGTCATAGGATACAAGACCAACACACCAAATTCAGTTGCATTTCCATATAATAGTGACACACAGTTGGAAATTAAAATGAAAACAATACCATTTACAAAAGTACCAAAAAGCATGATGTACTGAGGTATATTTCTCAGAATATGTGCAAGATCTGCATCCGGAATATTGCAATGAAAGATCCAGTTAGGGCCGGCCAAGTGGTGCATTGGTTAAGATCTGGCTTGGGGCGCCAGAGGGCCCTGGTTCGGATCCCACATATGAGGGCCAATAACACTGCCCTCTACAGCTAAGATGCTGAACAACAGCTCAACGTGGAGCTGGGTTGCCGTGAGTGGCCGGCAATGGTGTAGACTGCAGCACCTGCTGCAGTGGGTTGCCATGGGCTACTGTGTGTAGCCAGCAGCCAGCGTGAGCGGCTAGCAGCCACAGTGAGCGGACATCCAGAAGCCGGCGACTAATCTGCCTCGCCTGGGAAGAGCGCAATGATGGTGCCAACTTGGGCCAGTGAAGCACAACTAGACTCCACAACTAGACTGAAGAACAAAAGGACAACAACTTGTCTGTTCCCATCCCCCAATTCCCCAAGGAAAAAATATCTAAAAAAAAAAAAAAGAAACATCCAGTTAGATGGATATACCATGTTCATGAATTCTAAGACTCAATATTATTAACATGTCAGTTTTCCCAAAATTGATGTATAAATTCAATACCAGTAAAAATCCCAACATAACATAAAAATTGATAGGCTGATCTCATATGGAAACATATAGGAACTAGAATAGCCAAACAATGCTGAAAAATAACTTTTGAAAAAGTTAAAAGACTTAATAGTACCTCATTTCAAAATTTGCTATAATAAAGTTTTAAGTGAAAAAAAATTATTTTTGGCTTGCAAAGCTATTGAATATGTTTACCATACTAAAGGAGATAGTACACAAACTGACTTTACAGTTATAAATATATTAATCTTTTATGATCATTTAAAATCCCTGAGCATCTGTTACAATAAGCACATAGCACTGATCTTGTTCTATAATCAAGAGAAATTTTAGAGCCACAGTTCTGTCTGGTTTTCCATATATCTAGGTATGTAGGCTTATGAAAAGTACCTGGTTAAGGGAAATGTGGGCTGGATCTGGAGAAGAGGAAGACTAAAAGAAGTTTGTTACTGCGAGTAACGGGTTTATTAGTTTATTTCCAAACCAGAGTAATTTTTAAAATCTAGTCAAGTTTTCTGCCCACTACGAAGTCCCTTCAGTTATTTCACGGATGTTGGGTATTAGAAAATAACACCCAAATCATTTCACCAAGGTAATATATCTAAGGACCCAAAGTGTTGGTGAGGTTAGGAGGCGGGGCCCGTCCCAGTATCAGCTTTCTAAGGCCATTCCCTCTCGCTCCGTCCCACTGTCACGCCGTGTCCCCAGCAGTTCCTTTGGCCTACGATGCTCTCCTCATTTCTAAGTACTGAAAGCCATCATTTCGAGGTCCGCCGTTCAACTTCACCTCGGCTCCATCCTTCTCTTATGGGACTCACCGTGTTTGAACCAACTAATTTTTACCTTTAAATTTATCTTTATTGACGCATGCGCTCTCTTGTTCTAGTTTTCCAACTCTCACGCTATTACTTAGAATTCGGCTGCGCTATTACTTAGAATTCGGCTGCCCGTAGAAGAGAAAATACGGGCTTTGCAGCTGGACACTGTTATATGCCGGCACGCTCACCGAACGAGCTGGGGCAGGTTCCGCAGATGCGTCCGCCCCGGCGGCGCGGGGAACCCTGGGCCCTCGCCCGCCTTTCCGCTCCGGGCTGCGCCGGGCAGTCACGTGGCTGGAGGATCGGGCTGCGCGCGACGTGGAGGCTCGGCGCCAGGTGAGCGCCCTAAAGGGGGCGCGGGGGCGCGAGGGCGGCGGGGTCCTACTAGCCGAGTCTAAGTTCCCAAACCCTGCGTCGTGGAGGGTGCCGTCGTCAGACCTGGAAGGTGGGAACCGCGAGTGGGGTGGACCCCGGGGCGGGCGGCGCACATCCGTGGAAACTCCGCAGGTAGTGGACAGGCTGGCAAATTGTCTCTTTTTACCCTGATGCTAGTTGAATGGCCTCGTCTGACATGAAAAGATATAAGGAATAGATTTGAAAGACCCTGTGTCTGACTCTCTCCCCTCCTCCTTTATTTATTTACGTTTCTGTTAATTTTGAGCCTTAACGTTACAGCGCACTAATGGGATGTAGCATCCTGGATTGGATCCTGGAACAGAAAAAGAACATCAGTAGAATAACTTGGGACAGTCTAATCAAGTCTGTGGTTTAGTTAATGTTAGCTTATTAATTTTGATAAATGTACCCTAATATTAACATTAGAGGAATCTGGACAAAATACAGGCGCTCTCTGTATTATCTTTACAACTTACTGTAAATCTAAAATTATTTTAACAGAAAAAGTTAAAAAAACAAAATCCTACGGTCCTATGCAGCAGGCTGTTTTTCATTAGGCAGGAGTCCTGCCAGTTCTTTCCTCTTTTCCAGGCCTGACAAGAATTAGGTGTCTGTTTGACCAACTTATTTGCTAAGGCAAGAGTTGTCCGGCTAGTTAGTGGGTGTGGATCCTTCTAGTCCAAGTTTTTCTGTCAGGAAACTGTTTTCTTTTTGAAATCCGTCCGTCAGATGTCTTTGGAACACCTGTTATGCCCAAGCAAATGAGACATATGCACTCCCTGCACTAGGGGAGTGTGCAATAAAGGCATTAGGTAGGAAGTGAGGACAATTAAAAAGTACGATATAGGACAAGGAGGGCTTCGAGGTAGGAGAAATCACATCTAGCCCAGGGGAGTCCAGAAGGCTACTGGAGGGAGTGGCTGTCATGAACTGAGGGGGGCCTGAGAGGAAAAAGCATTCCTAGCACTAAGAATGGCATTAGCAGGGCCGGCTGAGTGGCTCAGTTGGTTAAAAGCTCGCTCAAGAGTTTGCGCTCTGAGCAACAGCGGTTCGAGTCCAGCCCGAACTGAGCAGCCGCTGAGCTGCCGACAAGTAGCCGGATGGCTCAGCTAAAAAAAAAAAAAAAAAGGCATCAGCTGAGGCTTGCAGGTGAGCAGGCTGCGGAGGCCTGGGAGCAGGTGCAGTCCCTCTGACGTGGAAGCAGAAAGCATGCCCAGGGAGTACTAACAGCTGAAACAGGAAGTGAAATCAGGGTTCTTGTTGTAGCAAATAGGGTGCCACTTTATTATATATGCCATGGGAGCTATGGAATGTTTTAGGGCAAGAGATGGGTATCATTGGATCTGTGCTTGGAAATGATTGACTTGGCAACAGTGTGTAGCGTAGCTTGGAGTAAACCAGTTAGGGAACTTGGTTTAGCCCAGGAGAAGTAACGAGAAATTCAGCCAGAGCTGTGAAGTTAATGTGCAAAGAAGGACATGGTTTGGGGAGATTTTGTGAATCTAGAGGGCTTGACAACTAACTGAAGGCACCAGAGAGAAGGAGGAAAAAAGAAAAAGCAATTCTACAGCTTTGGGCCTGGTGTTTTAAGAGCATGGTTGATGCGTTTGCAGAAATAGAGGGCACAGGAGGAGGTCTGGCTGAGGTGGGAAGTGGGGAGGGTAGTTAATTTGTTTTTGAACAAGCTGTGTTTGAATTGCTGGCAGGATATCCAGCTGGAGTTGTGTATTTAAGACTGGAAGCCAAACAAATACACAAGGGACAGGAAGCGGAAAAGGAGCCTGAACAGGCAGATAGGAGAGTCCGGTATTCCTGTGGGGTTGGGGAGTCAAGGTGGATCAGGGGCCTGGGCATGGTGAGTCAGGAGTCACAGCTTCGGCAGAGGTGGAGGTGGCTGAGGAACGAGACTAGGTCTTGGATTTAGCAATTAGGAAGTCACTGGCCACTTTCTAAAAAGCTGTTTTAGTACAGAAGTAGGAAGATAGTCTGCTCACGGTCTGCAGTATGTTCATCCTATGGCCTTTCCCAAGTGGCCAGAGCACTGAACAAGGAGCCAGCAATATGGTTCCTTGTCCTTGCTCTGCCACTACCTGTATAATTTGGGGCAAGTCATATATGCCTGAGATGGCGTAGGAAGATATATCCCTTAATAAGACCAGAAGTGCCCTTAGTCCTAGTAACACCTCATAGTTCATAGGACTAGGGTTCCATGGGCACACTTTAGTAAATGCAGATATAGAATGAGGATTTTAGAGCTCTAAAGAACTAAGAAATCTTATCCAATCCCCTCATTTGACAAAGAAATTAACATTCAAATTCTAATTCAGTAAACATTGATTTCAAATATATCAATGATGCCCAAATTTAGGCTTTATATAACTCTATAGAGTAGTTATGCTTAAACCCATTTTGGAGATTTGAAAACAGACTCCAAGAAGTTAAATGATTTGTCCAGGATCACAGAGCAGCAAGTGATGGAGTGAAATATGAAGCCAGATCTCCTGAGGCCAGGCCTTCTCCGTCTCACATCCTGCTGCCTCCCTGGTTGTCAACATTGAATGCTTTTTTTTTTTTTTTTAAGATTTTATTGGGGAATCGGGAAAGGGGAACAGACAAGTTGCTATCCTTTTGTTCTTCAGTCTAGTTGTGGAGGACGTTGCTTCACTGGCCCATGTTGGTATTATCATTGTGCTTTTCCCGGGTGAGGCAGTTGCTTGCTGGCCATTGGACGGCCATTCACGGCGGCTCATGGCAGCTCACAAAAGCTCACGCCCGCTGCTGGCCAGCCCCACTGCAGTCTACGTGGTTGCTGGCGACTCACAGCAGCCCAGCTCCAGGTCGAGCTGTTGTTCACCATCTTAGCTGTAGAGGGCGCAGTGTCACTGGCCCTCATGTGGGATCCGAACTGGGGCCCTGCTGCTCAGAGCTGGCACCCCAAGCCAACTCCTAACCAACATGCCACTCGGCTGGCCCAACAATGAATGCTTTTAAAACTAGTCCAGTGGAAAAAAGTGGGAGGGTACACAGCCAACAGTTCCCGAAGTTACATTTAAAAAAAAAGTAAAGCATTGGTCTACGTGAAAGCTTATTATTATGTTCAACTCTGAATAGCAGAAAGACATCCCCATGATGGCTGAATATACACAGTGCATTAAAAAATATTCTTAGGCAATCCTGTGATTGCTTATGCTTTCCTCTCAATGCTTTTTTCCTTTGTGTTGACCAATTCCATTTTCTTCACTGCTGGCTTCCTAACCGTGACCACACCCTCCTAACAGAGATGTGAGTTGCATTTATTAACAGGAATCTGCTGCACTAGAAGTAAAACACAGCCTCTTATATAATAAATAATTTACTATCTACCCTGACAAATAAAAATAGACAAACTTACTTATAGATGCTACTGTCACTAAAAAAAAATGTTGCTGATTTAAGGCATCCAGTTTAATAATTTTCTTATCTAGGAGGGCACAACTCACAACACACTTCTCATCTTGTCCCCTAATCCAGTTAAAGGTCCCTTATTTTTTTTCTGTGTTTCAAACAATTTTTAACATCATATTATTGAGTTATAATTTACATATGATAAAATGCACCATATAAGTATACAGTTGGATTTGTTTTGGCAAACCATCATTTTAGTCAAGATATAAGATTTTTCCATCACCCCAAAAACTTTCCTTGTGCCTTTTGAAGTTTACCTTCCCACCCCAGGCAACTATTGATCTTTTGTCTGCCATGTACATCCATTTTGCTAGGATTTCATACAGTATATCAGAAATTCATTATTTATTGCTGAATATATTCTATGGACATACTAGCATTTGTCTGTTTTCCTGTTAATGGACATCTGTGTTGTTTCTAGTTTTGGGGTAATTTGAATAATCCTATGGACATTCATGCACACATTTCTGTATGAACATCCGATTTCATTTCCCTTGGGTAAATACCAAGAGTGCAATTGCCGGGTCGCTGTTTAAAATAAACTGTCAAACTTTTCACAGTGTTTGTACCATTTTATACTCCCACCAACAGTGCATATGGATGTCCACATCCTCAGCAACACTTGGAATTCGCAGTAGTATGTGGTGGGATCTCATTGTAGTTTAAATCGACAGTTCCCTGATGACGAATGATGATGAGTGTCTTTCCATCTATGTATCTTCTTTTATGACGTATTACTTTAAATATTTTAAGGGCCTTTGTTTTTAAACATTGAAAATATATTGACCCTAAAAGCAACAGGAAACCTTTCATACATGATCAGATTTATTTGGCGTCTATGTGTGTTTTAATAGTGGAAGAATAAGAGAGAGATCTCAGCAAAAAATGAGGCTTAATTATTAATTTTTAAAGTCCTGGTAAGCAACTACTTAGAACAGCAGGATATTTAGAAAAAGATGTCAGATGTGTTTTTCTTTTTTAATGAGTTGTGAAAAGAATGAAATATTTCTAAATTACAGCAAAGCAGCTGTTTTGAAATATTTGGCGGTGGTGAAAGTCTCTCTTAACTGTACTCTGTACTACAAGTACAAAGCTGAGCATTTCAGGTGCTCTCCAGCCACCAGGTAGGCCACTGTCATCAGGTAGGTGCCTACAATGATCTCCACATGGGGAGGGCTGGGTGATTTCTCTGTAGGGTATTTTACCGGGAGATGTTTTCTTCTAGTAAGAACAGCAGGCAGTTAGCCTTGTTTTTCTGCCCTACAAGCAAGTGTTTCAGTTTGTATATTCCTTCCTTGCTTTATTCTTTTATGAAACAAATATTTATTGACGACTGATTTTGTCTCAGATATTGATTTAGGCATTGGGAATGCGGTGGTGATCCAAACAGACAAAAACTTCTGCTCTTGTGGAGCTTACATTCCTCTTAGGGCCATTTAGAGTGGGTTTGGATTCTGGCAGGGTAAAATTTTCAGCATGTCCTGCCTGTTGAGAGGATCCTAGGCAGGATGGAGCCACCTTGAGCTTTATTGGGCTCCTACATTTGTACTACCTTCTCCCTTTTAGTGAAAATGAGTAAAATATGGAGGAGTATGTTAAAAGGCCATAAGTGCTAAGGAGAAAGATAAAGCAGATAAGAGGGACAGGGATTTTAGATGGGGTGCCAGGAAAGGCCCCACTGAGAAAATGACACTGAAGAAAAGACCCACAGGTGGTGAGGAAGCAGCTGTGCAGCTGTCGGGAAGAGCATTCCCCCAGGTAGCCGGAGCACAGAGCTCTGGGCCAGGAACGCCTGGCACTGTCAAAACACTGGGGAGGCCCAGGCAGTCGGCCTGGGATGAGAGGGAGGGGCAGAGATGAGCAGACAGCCCTTAGCAGTTCAAAAGGCTCTGGTTTTTGCCCTGATTGCTTGTGAAATGGTGGAGGGTTTTGAATATAGGTGCACGGCATGATTTGAGAAAGACAGGTGGGGCACCTTTCCCTCCCACCTGTCACTGTCCCAAATAGAACACCCCTGCTAATTGCACAGAAATGGACCACCTGGGGCTGTAGGCGAGCCTGGAAGAGCCCTGAGCACCTAAAGTGGGTAACGGGGCTGTGAAGGGACAGAGGCAGGATAGTCTTAGTCATTGGAAGCCTCGTTTTTAGAGACTTCTGAATTTTATATAGCTCTTTGGCTTGTGAAAACCAGACCCTTTCCTTTATAAGCTTGTACATCAAGAGTATTCTGTTTCCTTGGCAAAGGCTTTGCCTTGTCCTGATTAGTAGGTTACTACATTCAGTAAAAGCCTTTCCTGCCTCCTTACAATCCTCTGCAATCTTTGAAATAAGAAGTTGGAATTTTTCTTACCTATTAAAAAGTCCTGAAATGTTAAAGACCTTGAATTTGGATTGCATTTGTGTGCTCATGCTTTGCTGGGATAGTTGTGCCTGCATAATACAGAAAGGAACTTTTCTTCCCTGAAAAACCCAACTTTCTTATCCTGATGGTGCTTTAACTACTGTTTTTCTTAACTACAGATAACCTGTTTTTCCGTATGGTAAAGACGACACCTGGCTGATGAGCAGCGTGGTGAGGCCACTGAGTGAGGCAGAGGTGCAGACCTGGGAAACCGAGGACGATGACATGGCAGAAGGCGATTTAGGGTATGGCCTCGGAAGAAGGCCCGGTGGTATTTATGAAGTGCAAATTTCACATTTATTTCCGTCTAGAAAAAGATCAGATGAACGGAACTTTAGCCCTCCCCCATTTCCAATAAAGGGGGAAGAAAGAAGTGGTGCTGTTTTTCAGCATTCCAGGCGTGAGAGCTTGCAAGATACATACCCTGAAGGGCCCAGAATTTCCCATCCCAGACGACAAAGTAGCACCGGTAAGAAAGCCTAGGGTCCTCTCCCTCCTCCTCTTCCCCTGTGAATTTGACCAGTGCTTCCACCCTTTCAACACAGTTAAATGGGTCGCCAGAGTGGATTTTAGAAATTTATCTTTATTCCCCTCTTGGGATTGGTGATAGTTAAAAATTAATTGATGTTTCTATCAAGACAAAATTAATCATAACTAAAAATAAATTATGCTGTACATTAAGGAAGGAATAAAATTGAGTCATGTTGTGATAGAATGATGCAACTCCAGTGCTTGGGAGCCTGTGGATGAGTCCACCATGCCTGCCCTGTGTGGCACAGAGCTTGTGTGGCTGAAGCTTTTGCAATCCACATTGTAAAACTTCCCCCACCAAAGTGGAACAAACACAGATTAGAACAGCACAAAAATAATTTAAGAAACATGTTTCAGATATACAAACACTGTTGTAGCTGGGGAATCTGTCCCCATCCTGCAAAATCCTTCTTGGAATTAGGATGGGATTATTTATATATTTTTTCTTCCAATTCCTTATCATGCACAGAGAATGGATACTGTTTTGCAAGCAAGATATTGAAAACTGAACATGATGCTAAGATGCCTTTGTAAAAACATGAGGAAACCACTGGGATAGAAACAAGATGTGATAGTGATAGTAATACTATGAGCTCCTGTTTGTTGGGTTAAGGACTTTTGTCTTTTTTGTCAAAGTTGACCTGATCCTAAGTAAGAATATTGTGTTAGTTTCCTATTGCTAATAAGTAATTTCCTAAGTACCAGAAATTGAATGGCTTAAAACAACACAAATTTATTATCTTATACTTCTGTCAAAGAACTGTAAGGTCCAAAAGGTCCAAAACGGGTTTCACTGGGCTAAAATCAAGCAAGGTGTGTGCAGGGCTGCATTCATTCTGTAGGCTCGAGGAGAGAATCGTTCCCTTGCCTTTTCCAGCTTCTAGGGCCCACCTGCATTCCTTGGCCTGTGATCCCCATCCTCCATGTTCAAAGCCAGCAATGGCTGGTTGAGTCTTGCTCATGCTGCATCACTCTGACACTGAGTCTCCTGCCTCCCTCTTTCATTTATAAGGACCCTTGTAAGTACATTGGGCCCACTGGGTAATCCAGGATAACCTCCCATCTCCAGGTACTTAATTTAACCACATCTGCAAAATGCCTTTTGCCATGTATTCGCAGGTTATGGGAAGTAAAATGTGGACATCGTTGGAGGCCATTCTTCTGCCTACCACGAGTATTAATAAAACAGAACTCACTGTCAACCTAATGTCACTTTTGTACCTCCTTGGAACCCTGTATCATTAGAGTAAAAACATGATTAGGTTTTGCCTTCGATACTGTCATGTTGATGAAAGTTCAGAATAGCAAAAAAAAAAGTGTTTTGAGAAATTTTTAATATCCCTCAAAATATACTTTCTAAACGTGTTTTCTTTTACTTCTTTCCCTCTTGCTTGTAACTTACCACTTTAATGTTTTTCTGTTGCCAGTGAGACCAAATGAAAATGAAGCTCCTGGAAAGCCAGTTTAATGTGTCAATTGATCACATTAAGGAGAAAGTAATTGGAGTTCAGGAGTCGTCTAGTCATTCTCTTTGGAAAAAATTAAATACAGGTTATTTCTTAGCTATTCATCTCACTATATTGGTCAAACAAGCCAAACACAAAAATTTACTTATTTCACTCACCAACATTCATGTTTTTTATATTGTGTGTGGACAAAAAAGGGGTCACATACTAAACCTGAAAAGTTCAGGGGCGGCCCGTATGGCAGGCCTTACAATCCCAGAGACTGAAAGTAACCACACAGGATGGTTTGAGTTTAAAAATTCCCAACTGAAAGCAAGTCATGGCAGGTAGCCTTGTCTAAACCTGTAACTTGACAAAGGTCAGTCTTTACCCTAAGTGAGAAGACTGTCTGTTATCTTTTTTGCATCTAAGATAACATACCCTTGAAATGTCAGAGTCATCTCCTTTGCCAGACCCCTGAGAGCACAACCACCACACCCAGCTGGAGACCACAACCCCTCATTGTTATCTTGCTCTCCCACATACCATCTCTAGGTGCTGCGAATGCTGTTAACTATCCTGTACCCACCAATGTAAAAGAAGTATGTGTTTTTCTATTGTGCCTTTTTATCCAGTCCTAGACATTTCCCCGCCTTCCTTTCTAATGTGTAAAATAAACTCCAAAACTGCCATTCTCTGGAGGTTTTCTCAACCTATTGAGACTTTGCTTCCCAGCAGTTGTCAGTTTGGCTTAAATAAACTCATAAAAACTCTCTACAGGTTTGGACATTGACATGTATTTGTATGTAGTAACTAACTAATTCGTTAACAACAGCTTTATTTTAGAGCCCTTTTAAAAGTATTTTTATTCAAAAGTATGTGTCTTTTCATTTATGAAAATTTTGTTTTTTGAGCTCAGCCATCCTGCCACCTGTTGGCAGCTCAGCGGCAGCTCAGCTCGGGCCGGGAATCGAACCGGCAACCCTGTTGCTCAGAGCTCGCACTCTTGAGCAAGCTCTTAACCAATTGAGCCACCAGAGCTCGCACTCTTGAGCGAGCTCTTAACAACTGAGCCACTTGGCCAGCCCCTATGAAATCTTTTTTTTTTTAAAGATTTTATTGGGGACTTGAGGGAGGGGAACAGCGTTGGGGAATCAGGGAAGGGGAACAGACAAGTTGCTGTCCTTTTGTTCTTCAGTCCAGTTGTGGAGGACGTTGCTTCACTGGCCCATGTTGGTATTATCGTTGTGCTCTTCCTGGCTGAGGCAGATCGGTTGCCAGCCATTGGACGGCCGCTCATGGCGGCTCACGGCAGCTCACGCTGGCTGCCAGTCACTCACGCTGGCTGCTGGACGCTCACGGTAGCTCACGGCAGCCCACTGCAGCAGGGGCTGCAGCCTACGCCATCATTGGCCACTCACGGTAGCCCAGCTCCAGGTCGAGCTGTTGTTCACAATCTTGGCTACATAGGGCACAGCATCACTGGCCCATGTGGGAATTGAACCAGTGGCCCTGCTGCTCAGAACTTGTACTCCCAAGCCAAGTCTTAACCAACTGAGCCACTCGGCCGACCCCTTAAGCTATTTTTGTCATTATTTGGTTTATTATAATTCTTTCCTCTTTGTAATTTAGAGGAAACCTGTGTTTGATATTTTGTAAATAAATGTCCTGTAATTAAATAGTTAAAATGTTTTCCTTTTTTTTCTATTAGATTCTAATTCAGAATTGTCAAATGTAGAATTAAAGCAACGTCTTGATGAAACATTAGAGGTGAGTACTCTGGCTAATATAAAAATTCTCATGTGAATAAAGTCCCCAGATACATGTTTATTTAAATAATACTAAAATTGTATGGACAGCAAATGTTGGCTTTCTAGATATTTTCAAAGAGCCTTGGTGTAAAGCTCATGTCTTTCAGTTGGCCTCCTCAGTTTCTTAGCCTCCTCATCTCTCAAAAAGCCTCTTTATGTAAACACATCCCAGTTCTCCTTTCTCCTCTTCTACTACTTCTCTAATCTCCTCCTGGAAAAAATAGTTATTACTTCCTTCCTTCTGTCTTCCCTGTATGTGTGGCTTAAAATAACCTGGCTTAATTTAACCTCTTTGAGGTGAGAAGACCAGAAATTATCCCAAGTGGTCTGAGGAGGCCGTCCAGCCTGGGAGTAGACATTTCTGAGGGGTGCCTGTCCTGTGGGAACCAGAAGCCCATCTTAGTGTCTGTTTGTGACTCTTTTTGTGAAAGCTGCTGTAGTAGTTTCCTAGGGCTACTGTAACAACGTACCACAAAATAGGGATTTAAAGTAACAGAGATTTATTCTTTCAGCTTTGGAGACTTAGAAGTCTGACACCAAGGGGTCAGTGGGCCATACTCCCTCTAAGAGCTCTATCAGAGAATCCTTTGCCTCTTCCTGGCCTCTGACGGTTGCCCCCGACAATCCTTGGCTTGTAGCTGTATCACTCTGGTTCTGTCTCTGTCGTCATATGGCCTTCTCCCCTGTGTGTCTGTGTCTAAATTTTTCTTGTCTTATAAGGACACCAGTGATTGGATTGGGTTTACCTAATCCAGTCTGACCTCGTTTTAACTCGATTACATCTGCAAAGACCCTATTTCCAAATAAGGTCACAGTCACAGTACCAGGAGTTAAAACGTGAACATTTCTTTGTGGGGGACATAATTCATAATAGCTACTGTAGTTGTGTGAATTACCATAGTTATGTGGCCTAAAGATTTTTAAAAAAAAATTCTTATCTGTGTGGCCTAGATGGGTAAAAACAAGATTTGCGCTTTGAATTATAAATGGCACCTGATAGTAAGGCTCTCAATTTTGGCCTGTCTGGTCCACTGATAAAGCCTGGAGGAATTTCCAACCTCATTTATAAGCTCAGAGTGCTCTGAGTCAAAGCACATGCTGAGCTTAAATGTAGACTCTCCCAATTGATCATTTTGGGTTGTGTATCTCGCAGATAGGAAGATGAATTTTATTTTTCTCCTCAGGAGGTCGAAATTTTAAAAACTGAACTTGAGGCATCTCAAAGACAACTTGAAGGTAAAGAGGAAGCACTGAAAATTCTTCAAAGCATGGTAAGAAGTTCTTTTTAAACTTTCACATTCCAAAGTGAAAATGGTGTATGGTTTTAACTTTTAAAACAAAAGTAGCAGTATTTAATATAATTGGTGGGTTTTTTTGAGGTTTACTTACTTTAAGTTTTATTGAGATAATTTACGTGCTATGAATTTCACATGTTTTAAGCATACAATTAATTTTTACTACAACTTAAGAATTGTGCAACTATCACCACAATCTAATTTTAGCACATTTTTTTTAAAGATTTTTTTTTTATTGGGGAATTGGGGGATGGGAACAGTGCTGGGGAATTGGGGGAAGAGGAACAGACAAGTTGCTGTTGTTTTGTTCTTCAGTCTTGTTGTGGAGGACGTTGCTTCACTGGCCCAAGTTGGCACCATCATTGNGATAGCTGCCATTATAATTAGGCTTTAATAACAAATATAGTACATGGACCATAATTTTAATATTTTACCTTTACTGAAGGTGTGGAATTTAAAGTCTTCAGAGTACATAAACAAGCTAACAGCTAGACATTAACAGTTCATTAAGTAAAGCATAAGATCACAGTCAGGATCAACTATGGGAGGTCTCTGAAAGATGACATTCAGTATTATTTTCAGTGGTGTTGTTTGGAATGGCCCACGGCAGTACTAGATGCAGCCCTTAACTTAGCATCGTCCCTTCTTCCTTGTTGGGCAGAACACACAAAGGGCCCCTCTAGGATAATGAGGTCCAAGAGTTGGATTGACAGGGAATTGACAGGCACCACAAGGGAAATTTCTGGTAATCTAGTTCAGAGTGGGCAGCTACTGTAAAAGAGAACTGGCAAGTACTAATTAGTTTAAGCGGATGAAATAGACCAAAGACAGACAAGTACACCCGCGCCAGGCAGGGAGATTGCGTTTGCTAATAGGACTCAGCATTCACACAAGAATTATTCCAGTTTGCTCTGACACCTCTCAAACTTTCTTTCAAAACCAGTTGGAACTTTTGCAGAAAAGTAAAGAAGAAGCTTACATAATGGCAGATGCATTCAGAATTGCATTTGAGCAACAATTAATGAGGAAAAATGACCATGCACTAAGATTGACACAAATGGATAAACTGTGTAAAAAAGAAACAAAGTGGAAAAATTGGAAGCACCTTAAAGAGGATGGTAAGTATGAATTATCATGGCAATAATCAGGTGTAATTTCAGTTGTTTTTGGTTATAATCAAAGTTGATTAAGTACATTTAATACAATGGAGAATATAATTGAAATTTTACATATAGTTTTGATTTATTTAAAAATTTAGTAACTATGGGAAAAAGGGATGATTTGATGATACATATATACAGACGAGCTACTGGGATCAACAAAACCATAAAATAACAGGAGAATCTCTTTTTTANGCCGTCACCAGTGACTCACGGCAGCCCAGCTCCAGGTTGAACTGCTGTTCAGCATCTTAGCTGTAGAGGGCAGTGTCACTGGCCCTCATATGTGGGATTCAATCTGGGGCCCTCTGGCATCCCAAGCCAGCTCTTAATCAACGCGCCACTCGGCCGGCCGAAGAACCTGGAATTTTTTACATATATAGCTGACCATTGAAGAACACGAGGGTTAGGGGTACTGACCCCTATGCAGTCGAAAATCTGCATATAACTTTTGACTTCTCCAAAATATAAGTCATCCCTCTGTATCTATGAGGGATTGGTTCCAGAACCCACCATGGAAAACAAAATACACAGATGCTCAAATGCCCCACATAAAATGGCATAGAACAATGCACATAGTCAGCCCTCCACATCCGTGGATTCCCAACTGTGGATTGAAAACAGTATTTTGATCCGAGTTTTGTTGAGTCCACAGATGCAAAATCTGGGGAACAGTGGGGCCAACTATATATTCATTGAAAAAAAATCTGCATGTAAGTGGTCCCATGCAATTCAAACCCATGTTGTTCAAGGGTCAGGTGTATATGTGTACACACACACACACACACACACACACACACACACAAACACACCCTTATATAATGAACCACCTGATGACAAAAGTTAATGAAGAATATTAAAGTGTTTTAAGAATATTAAGGTGGTACCAACTTTTTATAAAATTTTGAGATGATGTTGGTTCTCCCTTCTGAGCAGAAACTATTTTGAAGTGGTGGCTTGAATGGACAAAATAAGCCCTAAGTCAGGTCATGGGCCCAAGCACTTTACACAGTGTAGTGAGTTGTGGCAATGGCCCTGAGTGAGAACTGCACACAGATGGTGCTTCTCAGTACCAGTGATTTGAGCAGATGGAGATTTCTCCTGTATTAGGTTAGTTCTCAGGACAGAAGCTGCTCATCACCACAACCCCTCCCCTTCCTCCCTACCACTCCGTCCTGCAACAAGAGGGAAAAGTGACTGTTTTCTGCTCACCAGTAGATAGCAGGACCCCTTTTGTTCTAAATGGTTTGAGAGCCTCTTGTGAAAACTCTTAATAGAAAAATCTGATAGTTTGGATAGTTGGTACTTTTGATATAATACATGAGCTCTCATCATGTGGTCATCTCACTATCCACAGTTTTGTTGTTTGGTTTTTAATTGAGAATAATTTGCCTTTTTAAGTTCTATTTTTGAAAATCCTACAAATTTTCTAAGAGGAAATGAAAAGTTAAGATACTTCCACATTAGAAATAACATTTTATCTAGTGTTACATATGTATTATCTCACTTGATATCCACTATTCTATCAGATTTTCTGGATAGGACCAGATTTTGTGGGCCATGCCTGTTGTATGTGCATTGCTTGTAAGAAATAAGTATCTGATGTTGGTGTAACAAGATTAGGGGAGGCCAGAGTTAGCCCTCATAACTAAAACATTTTTTAAATTTAGGGAAATATCTTTATTTACAAATATTTTAATTAACGATATTTTGTAGCACAGATATTTTACAATTTTATAACAAAGAATACAACTTATTATATAACTTCTTAATTTTATGTTTNCTCTCTCTCTCTCTCTCTCTCTCTCTCTCGTATCTATCATCTATCAATCTATTAAAAACCCTGAGTTCATACCCATATTTCCAATTTCAGGCCACCACCACAGGGCTCATTTTAGCTTTGCCCCTTTCTACATTTGTAACTCCTATAGTGAGAAACCTGGCTCCTATTACCCAATATATTTACTTATTTTTCCATCACAGAATATGCAGAAAGTAGCTGTAGAATTGCTATACATAACATTGTAAAATAAAACCTACCAACCAGTTTAATATTTGTTTACAGTTTTGTTTTTAGCCTGAGCATTTATAATCAAAATACCTGTGTTCAAAAATTACTTAGTTGGTTTATTTTTTTTTTCAATTGGGGAATTGGGGGAGGAGAACAGTGTTGGGGAATCAGGGAAGGGGACCAGCCAAGTTGTTGTTCTTCAGTCTTCGTTGTGGAGGGCGCCAGTCGCCATCTGGCTGCCCGTTGGCAGCGTATGGTCTCTAAGCTCAAGCTAAGGAAAACAAGTTGCAGGTGGGCATAGCCACCATCCCATGCAGGAGTCAAAACAGCAGCCTTGTTGTTAAGAGCACATGCCCTGTCCACTGAGCCATCCGGGCGGCAGCTCAGCATAAAGTGCCGAGTTCAGTCTTAGTTGCGGGTGGGCGTAGCTCACAATCAAACAGGCAATCTTGTTGTTACACCAGCTGAGCCTTCCTTCTACCTGTTAGCAGCTCAGTGACAGCTCAGCTCAGGCACAGCGTCACTGGCCCATGTGAGAATTGAACCGGCGGCCCTGTTGCTCAGAGTTGGCGCTCTTAAGCCAACTGTTAACTAACTTAGCTGCTCGGCTGGCCCTGGTTTCTTCTTTTTACTCTTTAGTATGGTTACGCTATTCATCTAAGATAATTATTTCTATTTGTATTCTATTTTAGGGTTATTTTTCACTGTCCTTGTTGATTTACTTATTTATTTTTGACTTTGTAAAACACTGATATGCTTCCAAAGTCAAACTATTCAGAAAGGTGTATTATGAGAAGTGTCATTCTCCCCCCACGCCCTCGCCTCTGTACCAACCTCTCGCCGTTCTTCCTTCCCCTCACTGCCTGCAGATAACATATGTATTATTCTCTGCTTTATCCTTCCTGCATTTCTGTTTGCATGAATAGGCAGATATATGTATATTTTCTTATTTCCCCTTCTTTCTTACACAAAAGATAGTTTATTATAGATACTCTTTTGCATTTGATTTTTCCCATTTAATAATATATCCTAGAAATCACTCCATTGTGTGGATGTGCCATACTCAGCCATTCTCCTATATATATCAGCACTTAGATTGTTTCCAGTAGTTTGCGATTATAAACAATGCTGCAATAAATAACCTTGACATGTATAGTTTTGTGTTATTGGAGATATATTTTCAGGGTAAATTCTTAGAAGTAGCATTGCTGGGTCAGAAGGTAAATGCATATGCAGATTTATTAGATATTGCCAATTCCTCTTTATAAGGCGTGTACCACTTTGCATTCCTACCGGCAACACGTGTGGGAGTGCCTGTTTCCCCACAGCCTCACCAAGAGAATATATCATATGTTTTAATTTTTTGATAGTGTTATTTACCTAATTTTTTTTTGTATTTTGTTTTGGCTGCACAGAACCCAGAAAATTCTGATGCACATGTACAGACTTACANAGAGGGCAGTGTCACTGGCCCTCATATGTGGGATCCGAACCGGGGCCCTCTGGCGTCCCAAGCCAGTTCTTAACCATTGCGCCACTCGGCCGGCCCCTTAGCACATTTTCAATACCCCAAAAAGAAACCTTTTACACATTAGCAATTACTCTTTATTCATATCCCCAACCCCAGACAACCACTGATATACTTTCTGTCTTATAGATTTGCCTTTTCTATTGCATGTAAATAGAATTGTACATTATGTGTCTGGATTTTTTGCATTTGGATCCTTTTACTGCATGTTTTTGAGGTACAAGCATGGTATAGAATTTGTCAGAACTTTCTTTTTATTGCCAAATAATGTTCCATTGTATAGATATAGCACGTTTTGTTTATCCATTCACCAGTTAGTTGATGGGTAGTTGGGTTTCCACTTTTTGGCTGTCATAAATAATACTTGTATGAACATTTGTGTACAAGTCTTTGTGTGGCAAATTCTTTCATTCATTCTCACATTCATTGGGAAACAGCCAAACCAAGATCTTCTGACTTTTGAACTATCAAACACGCCACAAAAAGAGGGTTTCTGTGGAAATTCTCATCTCAATTAATTTCTGTTGTCTTAAAATAAAAATGTGAACTTCATCATGCATGTAGGAGTGATTAGAAATTGAATTTATACTGATAGGATTTTTTATTTTTCTTAGGCAATATTTGACAAAGCCACAAGTCATACCCAGGCAGTGCTTCAAAAAACTGTGGAACAAAAGAGATCCTTGGAGAAGGTATCTGCCTTTTTAGCGTGGACTCACTCAATCCAATAAGCTTTCAAATAGAATTTCCTTAAAAGTCACCATAAGATGGGTATGTCATTTGTGCATCCCCTCTGCTAGGTGTGCTTTGACTTCACAAGGTTCATTCCCTTTTGGAACTTACACAGAGATTGTCAAATGGGGAAAGAATTAAGGTTTCTTTTATTTCCCCATTTTAAGGTAGTGGTAGGCCTGCCAAGATGACACTTCCTCTTTTTCTTCTTTTCTTTCTCTGCTTACAAAGCCTGCCTCTTCCTGACCATCTTTACCAAAAAGGTAGTTAGGAATTACCTTCGGCGGTCATGTTCCTGTGCCTGTTGCACCCTCCCTTGATGAGACTGCCCTGGGTCAGACCTCTAGGAGTGTAGTTTACTTGTGGAGCCTGCATGGGTTGAGGGCGGGGATGACGACAAGTCTAGGATCAGACCAGCAAATTTTTAAGCTAAAGAATGTGAAATTTCTCCTAACGTAAGTAAGCTTTGGCAAAACTCTTTTGAATGCTACAAAGGCATGTTGTATATGTTTACAAATATCATAGACATTTTTTGAGCAATAGTTTTTTTTCTCTTTAACCTATTTCTGTGAAATGATTAAGTGATGTATTTCAGCTATTCATAATGTCCTTAAGTGATTTATTTGTAGAATTTTCCATGAAAGTGCTATTTTCTTTCTATAGGAAATAAATGCCTTGCAGTGGGAAATAGAATTTGATCATAATAGATTTAAAAATATAGAGGAATCTTGGACCCAAAAATATGACAGGTTTGTATATTATTATTTCATAGTTTTTATCTGGAAATCTTTAAAGTGTGTGTAATTTAAATGTAGCTTAGGCTTTCTTCTTCTTTGAGCTAATTGTAAGTATTATAAAATTCTTATTGCTTATCCACTTGCCAGCTCCATATTTTTCTGTTAGTGTTAATTTTCTTTTTAAAAAATATAGTATAAACTGCATTTTCAAATACAGTGTAAGAACCATGTTTTCCAAGTTATTTTAGCATTGGCACTATTTTTTCAAACAAAATTTTTTGAGCAGCTCTCTTGTTAGTGTGAATTTAATAACTTTAAATTACAACATACACTTTTTATAAAGTCAATCATTGAGAAATTGATTTTGATACCTGGGGTTATAGATGGCTTTAAAACCTAATCTTTTATTATTTCTTAACTTTTAATTTGAGGTCATTGAAGATTTATAGAAAACTTGTAAGAACAGTACAAGGAATTCTTCTGTATCTTTCACCAAGATTCTCCAAGTGTTAACTCTTTACCACATTTGCTTTATCATTCTTTTTCTTTCTTTTTGTAGTTAAATATGTAGATATAAATATAATTTTTTTATGAACCATAAGAGTAAATTGCGTATATAAGGCCCCATTACTATAAATACTTCAGTTTATATTTTTTAAGGGACATTCTCTTTTCAAACCATAGCACAATTATAAAACCAATAGTATTTTTTAATCTGTAGACCTTATTTAGATTTTCCAATTATCTGAATATGCCCTTATTGCAAAAGAGAGAAAAAAAATTTCCCTTGTTTCAGGATCCAATACAGAATCATATGTTGCATTTGGTCATCATGTCTAAACTTTAGTCCCCTTTAATCTGAAACAATTCTTCAGTGTTTGTCTTTTATAACTTTTACGTTTTTTGAAGAGGACAGGCCACTTATTTTATAGACTTCCCCACATTGGGAATATCTGGTGTTTCTGGATTAAATCCGGGTTATGCATTTTGGGCAGGGTTACCACTGAAGCAATGTTATATTCTCAGTGCATCGCATTAGGAGGCAAGCAATGTTGATTTGTCCCGTTTCTAGGATGTGAATCTTTTTTTTTAAAGAAATTTTATTGGAGAACAGTGAGTTTTTCCAGGACCCTTCAACTCCAAGTCAGGTAGTTGTTTCAATCTAGTTGTAGAGGGCGTTTTTCCAGGACCCATCAGCTCCAAGTCAAGTAGTTGCTTTCAATCTAGTTGTGGAGGGCGCAGCTCACTGGCCCATGTGGGAATCGAACCGACAACCTTGGTGTTAGGAGCCTGCGCTCTAACCACCTAAGCTAACTGGTTGCCCCTAAGATGTGAATCTTGATCACTTGCTGTAGGTATGGTATCTGCCTCCATTCTCCACTGTACTCACAACTTTTCTCTTTGTAATTAGTAAGCATCTTGTGGGGAGATACTTTGAAATTATGTAAGTCTACTGTTCCTCATCAGACTTTCACCCACTAGTTTTACATCCCCTGATTTTTCTGCCTGAAGCAGTTATTACTGTGATGGCTGCCAGATGGCAATTTTTGAATTCCGTTATTCCTTCTACATTTATTTATTGGCATCTTACTGTAAGAGATTTTCTTTCTCCTGTTTGTTTTTTTATTATACAAATTATGGACTCCTGGATGCTTGCGTTATTCAGTGGGTTAAAAGTCATTACTGTAATAAATTCTTTTGATGATTAAAAGTTTCCAGACTTCAGTCAATGGGAACTTCTTGAAACTGGCTTCTGCGGCTTTTTGACACCTTTGTATTATTCCTTGAGCACTTTCTTGCTTTCTCATACAGATATTATAGGCCAGTTCACCCACAATATTAGGCATTGCTTCAAGGAGCCCTGTACCCTTTTAGTGGGGAGTGGTGTTTGGAAATCAAGATCTGAGTGCTAGGCGCTCATTGTAACTGGGGTGTTATTGCTAGGTCTTCTCAGGGGATGGCTGGAAAACACACACATACACCCCACACACTGACACACACATGCACCTCTATCTGATCTCTCTCTCTCTCTCTCT